TTACACAGAATGTCCCTAAATTTTGAATGTCTGATGTTTGTCTCATGATCATGCTGGGGCTCTGTTTTGGCGAGGAAGATGATAAAGGTAAAGTGCCATTTTCATTATCTTATATCACAGGAATATTCTATCAATATTTTACACGATACATCACTACTGATGTTCAACTTTGTTGCTTGACTAAGGTTGTGCTATAAGAAAAGTTTATCTTTTTCCCCTCCCAATACTGTATTATTTAGGGGTTCACTATGTGTTTATCACACTTAAGGAGTGGGAAATTAACCCATTGCACTTTGAAGGATAGTCAACTGCATAAACAATTTGGAATTCTTCTGATTAAAAGATATGTCTATGATCCTCCCATATAATTGTTTATGCAATCACTTATATATGCAAATATTAAATTATATTTTATTTTGTGCTTTGGATTATAATCTGATATAACTTCATTCTGCTGTTCAAATTGTTCCAACACTGGCCATCAGAAACTCTTTGAGATAGCTTCTGTGACTCTTTGATGTATTATGATCATTGTGGTAGCAGTGCTTTGTCGAAACTATTTTTGAGCACAATAAGATGATTTGGCCTCATATTGTATATTGCTTGACACATCTTAATCAGCCATTTCTCCAAGGATCTCTGGTTTTCTTTATTGGAGAACAGTACCATAAACCAAGAGGTAATTTCTACATGTGCTAATCATCACTGGAGTGCTGCAGCTTTTAGGCTTTCTGCTCTGACAAAGGAAGGAAATACATGTATGTCTAGATTACTTAACTGCCTATATATACATATCAATAAATATTTCTATATGCAATTATCTGTATCTGTAGTAAGTTAAACTTGAATTCAGTCTTATGTTTCCAATTCTATTCCATAACCAGATGGAACACCTCAGCCTCCAATCCTTAATGATCTATGACTCCGAACTCCAATAGGGAAAATTTTGGCTTACAACATGAATTCACTTAATTGTTCAATTCCAGTATACATTTACAGCAATATAACAATTGTTAGCCTGTACTGTCATGGGAAACAAATTTACCAACCAGGATATACTGTTTATATAAAGTTTCTTTTGTCTTTAGTCTTATATATGCCACTCATTTCCTAAGTTACTCAGGCCAGTCTCTTTTCTTTCATACCCATAAATGGTATGGTTTTGTACATTTGTAAATGTAGTTAGTTCATGTCACATTCTGCATTTCAACCTAGGAACTCTCAATTTCCTAATCTTTTTTTTTAAAAATTGCATACATTTAGGCTCACTTTTTGTGCTACAAGTTCTATGAGTTTTCACAAATGCATAGGGCTAAGTATTTTACATTAGACTCTCATAATGAATAGTTCTACTGCTTTGTACCTAAGAGAAGAGTAATTCAAAGCAACATATTTTTCTTTAAATACAAAAATAACACTGTATATGATTAGTCACACTGTTAAAGAACTGAAGAATACAGGGCTGTGCTGGTCCATATGACTCAGCATATCCAGTGGTGATTGGAGTGTCATTGGCGTACAGGATGCTGCTTGGAGCCTGTGGCAGGGCCATATATGTGAATCATAGTGCAGGCCTCTAGAACGTTGGAGCAAAGCACTGTCGTCCTCTGAAGATAACTATTTTCCATTTGAGAAACAGCCTGTTACTGGGTCTCACCATTGAAGTATTCCTACTAGGTTGTGGCTTCAGAGTTTCTGCCAGAGACAAGCATATTTCAGTGGTCATTCTGCCCCGTCTTTCCAGATTTAAGGATGGTGGTTTGCCCTACAACCTCAGTTTTCTGATATGTCCAAGAAAAGTTGTTGATTTTCGGTTTGTTCAACTTTTTCTTGCAGTATGCACAGAAGTGGTGATTTTCAAGCTTCTTATACTATAGGAATGAAACCTAATGTCCCAATTGTTTTTCATGTAAAATAAGGTGCTAGAATTTGTTTCTTCTTCATTATCTGATCAGTGATATATTAGAAGCATGCAAATTTAGGATAACAAAATCAAAAGACTTAACCTGTGATTTTGGTAAGTTATTTTAAAGCCCGAGATTATAAAATTAGCATTCGCCGACACTAATTTTCAGTTTTCCTCCCTATATGCTGTGGAGTCAATTAATCATATTGGTGTTCAAAGGACATTGTTGAGAAGGCTGAATCCATGAAGAATATGTTTCTTAAAAGAAGATTAATCATTCTACAAAAAGTCCTTGAAGTGTACTTACTAAATTATTAGATGCAAAAATACTTTACACTACATTATTGAGTTTTTGGAAAAGAAAATCAAACTCAAAAGGTCAACTCAGGATGTAACTGTTCTCAAAAATATTCGACCAGAGATTTGCCTTGAGCATAGACAAGCTAATACAAACGGAGAATGTATTTTTGTATCTCCTTTTTCTAATAGCCTGTTATAAAATCCTTAGGGGGCAAGTAATTTTTCATAATGATAGTAATTGCAATTGAGTTTAAAGTGGCTGAAAGCCAAGGCTATGTCAAATTTTTATGTCAAATAAATGGAAAGACAAAGAAAGGAGGGGCTGGAGCAAAACGGAAGCAGTGAAGAGGAAATATGTGTGGGCCCCAACATTACAGACCTGGAATGAGCATGAACCATTCCAAAAGAATGTTCCCATGGAATTTACATTCTGGAATTTTTCCAGTAAGAAGAGTATTTAAAAGCATATGCTTTGATATGTTGTGACAGAAAAGTAGAGAATATTTCACTGCTAATTATTCCTTCTAACATTACCAACACATTTGGACAGCAGTATAAAGGGGAATTCAGCGATCTATACATATTTTTGTGCTTTGTCAATAGATATCATTTTTTTGTTGTTTTCTTAGGGTCTTGTATTAACAAAGGATAAGGTGATGTGGTAAAATCATAATTCAGTGTAACCTTGAACTCTTAGGCACAAGCAATACTCCCACCTCATCCTCCTAAGAAGCTGGAATGATAGGTGCATACAACTATGCTCACCTAATCTTTAAATTTTTGTAGAGAGGAGGTCTTGCTCTGTTGCCCAGGCTGGTCTCAAACTCCTGAATTCAAGTGATCCTCCCATGCCACCTTTTCAAAACACTGGGATTACATGTGTGAGCCACCATGCCAGGCCAATGGCATAAAGCTTTAATCAACTATCAAGAAATAGCTTGCACAGCACAAGGAAAAAAGCAAGAGTTCTCTTGCACAGGTCCCAACCAAATAACATCCTTTCCACTAATAAAAGTCAGTCTCATAGAGAGCACAGTATAATAATTGCATATTATTTTAGAGGTTATAAATACATTCAACATAGATCATCCCATTTACTATTTGTAGCAACCTTTTCCAAGTAGGAATTATTAAAGTTTTACATAATTTGCCTAAGGTCACAGCTCACATGTGATGGGCTTCTCTGAAGACTTGAAAGAAAACTCTTCTTGTTATTGCATCATCATGAGTCCTCGAATAAGGAAAAGACGACCTGAAAATTAAGGACACCCTTTGTTCCCTTAAGTGTCATAAAGAGACAGTTGATCTAATTGGGCCAGCAGATTTCCAGAGGGAAAAAAAAATGACTATTTTTCATATTTTTAGCTGTTCATAGACCTCCATCCTAGTTAAGAATAGGTTTTTATTCAGTAAAGAGCACGTGTTGTGGGCAGAATCCAGTGGGAGATAATTGAATTATGGGGACAGTTTTCATGGTAATGAATAAGTCTCATGAAATCTTAATGTTGCAAGAGGTTTCTCTTTTCACTTGGCTTTCATTCTTTCTTGCTTGCTGCCATGTTAAGACGTTTTCTTAACATGTTTCACCTTCCTCCATGATTGTGAAGTATCTCCAGCATGTGGAACTGTGAGTCCATTAAACTTTTTAGGTATGTCTTTATTAGCAGTGTGAGAACACATTAACATGGTAAACTGGTACCGGAGTGGGGCACTGCTGTAAAGATACCTGAAAATGTGGAAGTGACTTTGAACTAGGTAACAGGCTGAGGCTGAAACAGTTTAGAGGGCTCAGAAGAAGACAGGAAGATGTGGAAAAGTTTGGAACTTCCTACACACTTGTTGAATAGCTGTGACAAAAATGCTGGTAATGATATGGACAATGAAATCCAGGCTGAGGTGGTCACAGATGGAGATGAGGAACCTGTTGGAAATTGGAGTAAAGGTGACAAATGTTTTGGCAAAGAGACTGGCAGCATTTTTGCCCCTGACTTAGAGATTTGTGGAACTTTGAACTTGAGGGAGATGATTTAGGGTATGTGGTGGAAAAACAAGTATTCAAGAGTTGTTTTGGGTATTGTTAAAAGCAATCCGTTTTAAAAGGGAAACAGCATAAAAGTTTGGAAAATTTGCAGGGTGATGATGCAATAGAAAAGAAAAGCCCATTTTCTGAGGAGAAATGTAAGTTGGCTGCAGAAATTTGCCTAAGTAATGAGGAGCCTAATAATAGTAGCCAAACAATGGGGAAAATGTCTCCAAGGCATGTCAGAGAAATTTGTGGGAGCCCCTCCAATCACAGGCCCAGAGGCCTAGAAGGGAAAAATGGTTTTGTGGGCTAAGTTCAGAGCCCTTCTGCTGTTTTTAGTCTAGGGACCTGGTACCTGGTGTCCCAGCTGTTCTAGCCATGGCTAAAGGGGCCAAGGTACAGCTTGGGTCACAGCTTCAGAGGGAAGCAAGCCCCAAGCCTTGGTAGCTTCCACACAGTGTGCGGGTGCACAGAAGTCAAGAATTGAGGTTTGGGAACCTTTGCCTAGATTTCAGAGGATATGTGGAAATTCCTGGGTATCCAGGCAGAAGTTTGCTGCAGGGGTGGGCACCTCATGGAGAACATCTACTAGGGCAGTGTGAAGAGAAATGTGGAGCCGACATGACCCTGACAGAGTCCCCAGTGGGGCACTGCCTAGTGGAGTTGTGAGAAGAGGGACTCTGTCCTCCAGATCCCAGAATGTTAGATCAACAGCCTGCATTGTGTGCTTGGAAAAGCTACAGACAATGCCATCCCAGAAAAGCAGCTGAGATGGAGGATGTACCCTGCAAAGCCACAGGAGTGGAGGTGCCCAAGACCACAGAAACCCACCTCTTGGATCGGCATAACCTGGATGTGAGACATGGGGTCACAGGAGATCATTTCAGAGCTTTAATATTTGACAGCCCCACTGGATTTCAGATTTGCATGGGGCCTGTAGACCCTTTGTTTTGGCCAATTTCTTCTATTTGGGATGGATGTACTTAACCAATGTCTGTAACCCCATCGTATCCAGGAAGTAATTAACTTGCTTTTGATTTTACAGGCTCATAGACAGAAGGGACTTGACTTGTTTTCGATGAGACTTTGGACTGTGGACTTCTGAGTTAATGCTGAAATTAGTTAAGACTTTGGGAGACTGTTGGGAAAGCATGATTGGTTCTGAAATGTGAAGATAAGAGATTTGGGAGGGGTCAGGGGCAGAATGATATGTTTTGGCTCTGTCCCCAACTAATTCTTATTTTGAATTGAAGCTTCCATAATTCCCACATGTTGTGAGAGGGACTCTGTGGGAGATAACTGAATCATGGGAGCAGTTCCCCTACACTGTTCTTATGGTAATGAATAAGTCTCATGAGATCTGATGGTTTTATAAAGAGTTTCCCATTTCATTTGGCTTTCATTCTGTCTTGCCTACTGCCATGTAAGATGTGCCTTTTGCCTTCCACAATGATTGTGAGACCTCCCCAACCATGTGGAACTGTAAGTCTATTAAACCTCTTTTTCTTTGTAAATTACTCATGTATGTCTTTATTAGCAGCATGAGAACAGACTAATATAATACTCTACACAGAACAGCATATTTATACTTACTTAGTGCATCTTATGAGTTTCAACCATCTTTTTTTTCTGAAGAACTGAATATTTTAAAAACAAGTTTTAAAAATGTACATTACAGTAATCCCAGAGATATCACCTTCAATACATCCAGAAATACAGTATGTCCACATGATGCAGCCATTCTCTATTTTCAATTTCCAAGAGTGCTTCTCAAAACAGCAATAAATTAATCTTATTCAATAAAAAGGATTTTATTCTATAACCTATGAAGCTATTGTGGTCTCATTTGGAGGATATGTAAGATAAAATGTGAATAGAATGTGAATAACTTGTATATAAGAGAAGAAAATAAGTCATAAAACTAGTTTAAATGAGTGAATATTTTAACATAGCAACAGCAAATGTTTTCTTTTGTTACCTTATTTTAATCTGTTAAACTAAGAAATATAATAAAATTGAATAAGATGGTAACTTTGTACAAAATTTTACAGTTTATTACTTTGCCTACTAAGACCACCTTATATTTAATATTTGTACCCATGGACATGCACATCAGAGATATTCTATTTTATGTGACTGAGTTTTTCATTACTGTTCTTAAAGTATGAAGTAAGAAAGAATCCTTAATGTAATATTTAAATATTTCTCCAATTTTGAGGAAATTATACAGGTAATAGTAAAAAGTATGTTTAAACACAGATAAAAACTAAAACCAGAGTAATATGCAACTTTTATAATTTTTAGAAGACTAAGGCAATATGCATTCCACATATAGTCTACCAAGAGTTACATTAGTCAGGACATTTTTTTAATGAATGTAAATTTCACTGATAAGCAGTTACTCCTTGGAGGCTAAATGACATTAAGCATATTAACTCTAGGTTGGTTAGAATATATTAGCATTGGGCTAATCAGAAATTCATTAGACAATAGAAAAACTTCACACCAGTATATATTGTGTTTGCAATGCTGGATACTGAATGCTACAAATTTAGGTTTATATTCAGTAAAGAGCACTCACGCATATGAAATATATGTACATGTGTGTATATATAATTATATATTCATATTATATATGTATATATCATTAATATAAATATATTAAATATAAATCTATATGTCATATATTTATCTATATAATGTATGTGTATATGTAGGTGTGCGTGTGTGTATGTAAGGAGCACCTATTTTGAGTGTTTTGTATATAGTGTTTTCCTGTGTATGTATCACAAACCTTTCTTTTCTTGTTCAATCTTACTAGCAATCCAATCATTTTTTAAATTGAACCATGAGCATCAGTAGCTACATCATCTCATCTGGATTAGGAATTCTTTAAGCCTAAAAATATATACTGCCAAGGCACTCATTTAAAGCTTTCTTTGAAATATGCAGAATTAATTTGGAAGAAAGAGAACACATGATATTTATTTCACTTAAACTAGATACACAGATGTATTTTATGGCTCAATTTTTATTTGGGAATTTAATATATGTGTGTACCTGTATACGTCTCTCAAGAGGACTATGTACCAATTTATTTTTATTTTTTTAAGATTCTTTTTGTACAAGACACATATCAAATGGGATTTCTTCTGTGTATATACCCAGGATTACTACATCAGAAAGCATTTGTCATATCTAATTTTAATAATTCTCTCAGTTTCAAATGGAATTTTTTGTTCTTTTCAGATTTTTATTAAAAAATTACTGCTGACAGAGCTATGCTGAAATATCTACTGATATGTAATCTGCCCTCTTAGAAATCATCACCTTATAACTAAATTTATTCTTTAATCTCAGTAGTACTCAGCATTATTTCTTGGCTGTTTTTCTCACTCCTCCAGCCTAAGTGCTCCATATCCCTTTCTCTAAACACAGAGGGCAGATTCAGCTTAACAGGCTTTCAACCATAAACTTTAACAGCACTTTAAACAGCCTCAAAATGGAATTTCTTCTTTAATTAAGATGTTACTTTGTACATCATAATTGAAATACATCAAAAAGTTCCTTGTTAAAGCTCAAGATATATTACAAAGCCATTCTATAGCACCGCTGCAGGGCTCTGCTAATTGGAAGGATGACAGATCAAATTCCAGAGAAAGTTATGTCAGTTGAAATGCTGTAAATAGAGTAGCTTATCTAAATTGTGCACCCAAAACAATCAGGGAAATATATCAAACCATGGTATTTTGTTAAAGTGCAACAGGAACTAACATCAAACATTAACAATGCATCATTTGCCTTTGTGAGTGCATATATATGTATATGTATGTTGAGAAATACTGAGAAAACTTTAATATTTTAAATGTATATCACAAGTGTATATACTTTCATACCCAGCAATCTGAAAGTGCTCTTGGAAGAAAGAACATTTATAAACAAAATTTTATTATTCAAATTGGACATGAGGAGCTTATTTTAAATAAGTCATTTAGAAAGATATTTTTATTAGAGTTGGAAATTATCAGTTGTCTCATTTTTAACAATTTTCCAATTACTACGTTTATTTTATTGATTAAAAAGTTTTCTCTAAAACCAACTGATGTCTACTTTTACTGTTGCTTACGCACAATACATACTGACAAAAAAAAATGTTTTATTTCTCTGTTCAACTCTGTGACATTTTGAAAGTTTTAAGTATTCTTTTCAAATATTCCACCTAGAACATGCCTAACCCCAGATGGTATTCGTTTACTACCTCACTAGGAAATCACTAACTTCTACTACCAAAAACATCACCTTGCCTTCACCTCTCCCTCCACAATAGAAGGAACAGAAGCACCCTCCACCTTGGAAAACCACTCCATCTCTGGGACTCTTCAACCTTTTCCAAAATCTGAATCTATTAATGACCCCTTCTCACTGGTCTTCAGCTGTATTTCTGTGTACATCTGCCTACCTTGGATTCAACTGCTCCCTCTCAACCACGTCTGCCCAGTGGCATTTTAAACATGTTCTATACTTTGGCCATTTTCAGAAATACTTTAAAAGGAAAGAATAAAAAGTTCTCCCTCTATCCAATGTTCCTATCTCATCCAGTTACTGCCATATTTATTTTTCTTTATCTCTATTGAAATACTTGTAAAAACAATTGTATGTATTCACGATTTTTCCTTTCTTGCCTACCACTCATTCTCCAACCCACTCCTGCCTGGCCATTGCTGCTACCACCCTGAATTCAGTTAATGCCTGTCAGTCCTTGCATTCCATGCTTGCCCTCTCCATGGTGTTTGCTACTGTCCATCATTCATTCATTCATTCATTCACTCATCATTATTGATTACTGGAGGATATTCTATGTGCCAGGCATTAAACTAGATATAGGGGCTACTGCAGTAAGCAAAAGTTACAAATGTCATAACTCAAGGAGGAAAGGAGACAGGTGATAAGAGAAACTAAGTAATATTTTAGATTTAAAAAAAAGCAAAGTAGAGAAATAAAGAGTTGCCTGTGGTGAGTTTGGAATGTGAAATCCATATTTAAAGAGAATGTTAAGCAACGGTTCCACTGGCACAATTTTAATGCTCAAAATCAGACTGTTGAACATTCTCTCCTGCACCACCACACATTCCTTGTTCTACTTTTAACTCTCTTGTCATATGTTTTCTCCTTTCTTGCAGGGTTCTTCGCTTTCCAATCTATGTGGTGTAATGCTTTAAAAATGGCGCTTTGCCACATGTTCTCACTCATAGGCAGGTGTTGAACAATGAGAACACTTGGATACAGGGAGGGGAGCATCACACACTGGGGTCTGTTGGGGGACAACAGGGGAGGACAGCAGCGGGTAGGGAGGTTGGGGAGGGATAAGATGGGGAGAAATGCCAGATATACATGACAGGGGGATGGAGGCAGCAAATCACATTGCCATGTATATACCTATGCAACAATCCTGCATGTTCTGTACATGTACCCCAGAACTTAAGTACAATAAAATATATATATTAAGAAATGGTGCTTTTCTTTTTCTTCTCTTTGTAAAATTCTTCTCGATATTTTATCTAAAAATTGGTGTCAATGGTCATCTATATGGATATCTCTAGTTAAAACCTATTCTTTGAATTAATGACTTACATATCCAACTGCCAACTTGAATCACATTTTGGATGTCTCAAATATACCATATACTCATTATGTTCAAAAATCTACCATTGATTTTCTACAAGAAAAATGGTCTTGCTTCTTGTGATCTCTAGCTTACTGAATGACAGTATCTTTCTTTAGAATTTCCCAGCCAAAAAGTTTGATAGGTATCATCCACAACTCATTCTTTCATCATACTATAAACCATCAATCATCAGGTTTTTTTTTAAGTTAACATATTAACAATGCCTCCATTTTTCTCTAATCCAAGGAACTATAATCTCTCACCTGGAATAATGAAACATTATTCAAACCCTTCCTTTCTTTAAAAAGTTATTTATATTGTAGTCAGATTAATTGTAGATTTCATCCTGTGTTTTAAAATTTTCCTTTTGATGGGTACAATTTTAATAGGTCAATTAAATATTTTAAAATAAAAAAAAATTTAATCTCTTAATAGCCTCCATGCTCTTCTGTCAAAATTCTGAATGCTTACTATGGAGTACAAAGCACTACTATCTGATTACTATGGCCTCTCTGGCTACACCAGCCACAGCTGCCTTTTTTCCTTGTCCTGTGTTCTAGACAAGCTAACTTTCTTTTAGTTCCTCAAATGACATGCTGCTGCAATAGGGCTTTCACACATGCAATCCTTTTCTTTAGACTGAAATTTTATCTTCAGCTTCTTCACTTACCTAATCCATATTTATCCTCCATATTTCATTTCAAAGGAGAACTATCCACATTAGCCACAAACTACCAGAATACACTAGATTCAATGTTAGATGCTTCTGCAGACCACGTACTTTTTCTTTTACAAATGCAATTACAGTTGCTATTTTTGACGTTTAAGAGCTATTGTTGGACCAATATTTATTTTCTCAACTAAACTATAAATTAAAGACTGAGACTGTTTGGATTTTGTTTTACTGCTGTGCTGTATTTGTTGTATATATACATGGATGAAAGAGTAAATTAATAAACACATTTAAATTGTTTTTGTCTTTGTTACAAGACAGTTTTTAGCAATGCTTAACAGTAACTTTCATTTTTCCACTCTTTAAACATATTCTTTTTCACAAAGTACACAACCTTATTAAATCTTAATTTTGTCATCAGTAATTTGAAGATAAGTATAGTTTCTACTCTGTAAGTTGAATGTAAACTTATCTTTATAAAGAACATAAAATAGGTCCTTGCACATAGTAAGTATTCAATAAATAACATTGTGATCTTTATTTTCTCTAAATTGCCTAAAATAATGACTTAACTCCAAAGTTTCAGTTGTATTCTTAACTGACTCAGTAGTTTACTCTTTATAAAAAAAACATAATTTCCTAGAGATTAGGATAACATTTGAACTATAAGTATTATATTGAACTGCCATTAAGCGTAAGTTTTTATTTAAAAGTTTTAATTACTTCTTATACATAACGGGTAGAGAGGTTTCTACAATTTATCCCAACGAAGAGGTGTTTCCCCTCCTAGGGAAATAAATCAATTAATTAATTACTCTCCTGCAATGCAATCAGCCTTCAGCAGATCCCTGGCCTGAAAACATTCATCCAAAATAAATAAATACATAAATAAGAAAGACTATGGCAGCAGTAAATGTAATGTTATCATCTTCACCCAGAATTTCCTCAGGATACCAAAGAATATAAAACAGAGGTGAGAATTCTATCCTCTAAGACACCTATAATCCCAAATAGCATTATTCAAGGAGATGCTGCCCAATTCAATAAAAGTAACGTTGCATTTAGAGAGATGTTGAGAGAAAATACTAGGAGAATACTGTTCTCTAAATGTTGATGTTATGCTCAGGGACAGAAGCCCACATATGATATTTTACAATGATGAAAAAAGAGTACATGGGATATTGGTAGAATCTTTCGTGGATCGAGTTTGTCCTAAAGAATAAGCCAAGATAAAGGCACAAGAATTAACAAGAAACTGCATACTTTCGCATGATTTGCAGAATGCAGTCTCTTGGTGAAGAAGAGAGAAGGACAAATATCATTCACTCTAAGTAACTCGATGGTTGTCAATCTGTTGATAGAAGGAAGTAAAGATTAGACAGCACACACCCCCAAAAAAACTGTTATTAAAAATTGTCTTGTAAACAAAGGAGAATTGCTGTGTGAAAATCATGTGTGTCTCCAATTTCCTAGTAACTTCTTTCAAAGGCCTTATCCAGTCTTTAGACCATAAGTGCTAAGCAAACAAGAGTTAGCAAGTACTTTATATAAAAGTACTATAAGAAAAAGAACAGAAAGAGAAGACAAAAATAGAAAAAGAAAGCAACAGGTTAAGAATCCTCACTAGAAAAATTTGCCATTAGCCAGATAAAAATTGTAGTCAAAGTTATCATGGACTTAAATTATCAAAAATTATTAAATTATTCAAATATTACTAATCATTAAATTATACAAAATTATTATAATGAGTAATAAAATGCTAAAATAAAATAAAGTCTAGGATTTTTCTTTTAGAGCGACAATTTAGAAAATATATGGGAGATTATAAAAGGAGATTACATTCAAAGTGTCCAAATTTGAGGTGGCAGGGACAGAAGATAAAAGTAATGGGAAAATTTTTTAAAAGACCACAATTTGAACAGTAAAAGGGAAAGTAATCATTGCTGAAACTTTGATGGTAAACATTGATAATCTATAGGTGAACTAGCCAAAGCAAAATAAAGTGGAAAATAAAATTCAAATATTTAGAAAGAAAATGACATATATGAAAAACAATGAAAATTTAAAAATGATAGTGTCACTGAAGAAAGAACTGATCAAAAAGAATTGGTAGCTACACAGATGATTTAAAAAGGCAGATGATAGATATTGGATTAACATATAACATATCTAAGTAAACTTTCAAGAAAATTTTTTCAGAAATATAAAACAACTTAAAACTATATGTGAACTGGTCACAGTTTTGAAATTAAAATGGGAAAATGAAGACTAATACCAAAATTCAAAATTGAGAGAATCTTTTGAGAAAGAATGCCTATTTCATTTTTTTTCCTTTGAAAACCAGGTCTTCCTCTGTCACTCAGGTTGGATTACAGTGACATGAACACAGCTCCCTTCAGCCTTGACCTCCTGGGTTCAAGAGATCCTCCTATCTCAGTCTCCCAAGTAGCTGGTACCACAAGTGCACACCACCATGCCCAACTCATTTCTTTATTTTTTTAATGGAGATGAGGTCCTGCCATGTTACCCAGGCTGGTCTTGAACTCTTGTGCTCAAATAATCCTCCTGCCTCAGCCTCCCAAAGTGCTGGAATTACAAGCATGAGCCACCCTGCCTGATTCAAACAATTTTAAACATAGATAAATTCTTGTTATAGTAAAAAAAGAAGCAAACATTTTCTTAACACATTGTAATTTACAAAACAGTTTCCAAGAACTGTTCTTGAAGAAACTTCTATAAAAAAATCTTTTGGCAAGCAAGAGATATATGAAGAAATTACAGAAAAGGGACAGATTGTAAACACTGAGCTATGATTATCACATATAATGTATTTGATTTAAATTCTGAAATTGTTGAAGTAACATAACAACTAAATTTGGAAATGAATGAAGGAGAAAAATGGGTAACATGCATCGATCAATTTTGACACCTTCATCTTTCAAAGCAAGGGTTCAAAAGAGGCTATTTATACTTGATAAATTGAATAATACAGATATAACTAAGTACACCAGTACGAAGTAATCATTACCCCAGCTGCCTCTGGCTGTGGCCACAGACAACTTCATCAGCACCTGTTCCTCGGCCTCCCAACCCTGGTCCCCTAGATCAGGACCCGCCCTCAATAACAACCCCCCAGCTGTGGTGGTGCACTCCCCACAAGGCTGGGCTGGGGAGCCCTGGAACCGGGTCCAGCATAGCCTGCCCCGGGCAGCAGCCCTGGAGCGGACAGAAGCCTCGCCACCCCCTTCAGCTCCCCGAGAGCCTGATGAGGGGCTGCCCTGTCCTGGCTGCTGCCTCGGCCCCTTCAGCTTTGGCTTCTTGTCCATGTGCCCCCGCCCCACACCAGCTGTTGCCCGCTACCGCAACCTGAACTGTAAGGCAGGCAGTCTCCTCTGCCACCGAGGGCACCACGCCAAGCCACCCACACCCAGCCTGCAGCTGCCTGGGGCACGCTCTTAGCAGTGGAGCCTTTGGTCTTAGGCCTCCCACTTTGGCCTTCAGGACACCCTGTGAGGACAGAGCACACTTGCTGGACAGTGCCAGCCCCAGATGGGCTGACCGGCTCTTCTCCTGATGTAGGGGAGCCCCAGCATGGACTCAAGGGACACAGCACTTCCAGTCCGACCCCTGGGCTTGCGCTCCCGTGGGGATCACTGAACCAGACACAGCATTGCTGACACATGAGACTAACACATGCAATTATTTAAAAATATTTCAATAAAAAAAAAAAAAGAAAAACAATGCAACCAGTTAACAGTTGGTGGTAGAAAAAAGGGAAAAGAAGTTGAAATGCACACATTTTTTTGCCCTTATTTTGTATTTAGAGAATATATTGCATTAAAGTCTGAAAATATTGCCACAAGTGTGAAACGTTGTATAAATATACTCTGCAGTTCTGTATCTAATTACAAATGGACATCAGGCATCAAAGCAGGGTGAATTCCTCAGAAATGGAAAGACAACAGGGTTAGTCCTATGGTTGCACAAATTTTCCACCTTGAAAAAATTTCTAGGTTATGGTACAGGGATGGGGATGCCAGGTGAAGGCTGTAGAATTTGTCTGAGGCGAGGAGAAAATGATGGGAAAGCAAGGAAAATTCACGAAAATAGCATAAGTGAGAGAACTATACAGGAAGAAAAATGAGAGAATTAGCATTACTCAGTTTATCCAAAAGAAGACAACATTTTCAAAAGAGAAAAATAGGAACAAATAGAAGTAAATAAGATGATAGATATAAGTCAAACAACATCAGTGATCACATTAGATAAAAACATTCTCAGTGCCCCAAAAAACAGTATCAGATGATTTTAGAATTGTTTCTCCTAGGGTATTCTGCAGAGTACCAATCAGCACAAGCCTATGAGAAAACTGAGGCTGAGGACAGGATCTTGCTAAAGGATTAACACTATGTGACATTTACACAGGACTGGGAATAGTGCTTGTGTCACTTTAAATCTAACGGTCAGATTTAAAAACCTCTTAATTCATGGGAAAATGAATAGTTTTCTCAAAACTGTTTTGCCTAAGTAATGAAGGAAATTAAGAGGATGAAGGTGAAAAATATAAAAAGAAAAAAATTAATCAATGGAAACAGATCCAAATGGACACAGATGACAAAACAGAGGCTTCAGAAAAAATGCCACACATCTACAACCATCTGATCTTTGACAAACCTGACAAAAACAAGCAATGGGGAAAGGATTCCCTATTTAATAAATGATGTTGGGAAAACTGGCTAGCTATATACAGCAAGCTGAAACTGGATCCCTTCCTTGTACTTTATACAAAAATTAACTCCAGATGGACTGAAGATTTAAACAGAAGATCTAACATCATAAAAACCCTAGAAGAAAAACTAGGCAATACCATTCAGGATACAGGCATGGGCAAGGACTTCATGACTAAAATTCCAAAAGCAATGGCAACAAAAGCCAAAATAGACAAATGGGATCTAGTTAAACTAAAGAGCTTCTGCACAGCAAAAGAAACTATCATTAGACAAATAAAAGCAAGTAAGATGACAAATATAAGTCAACTAATATCAGTGATCACATTAGATAAAAATGTTCTCAGTTCCCCCAAAAGCAGAACAGGCAACCAACAGAATGGGAAAAAGTTTTTGCAATCTACCCATCTGACAAAGGGCTAATATACAGAATCTACAAAAAAATTAAACAAATTTACAAGAAGAAAAGAAGGAACCCCATCAAAAAGTGGACAGAGGATATGAACAGACACTTCTCAAATGAAGACATTTATGCAGCCAACAAACATATGAAAAAATGCTCATCATCACTGGTCTTTAGAGAAATGCATATCAAAACCACACTGAGATACCATCTCATGCCAGTTAGAATGACGATCATTAAAAAATCTGAAGACAACAGATGCTGGAGAGAATGTGAAGAAATAAGAATGCTTTTACACCATTGTTGCGGGGGGTAAATTAGTTTGGCCATTGTAGAAGACAGTGTGGAGATTCCTCAAGATCTAGAAACAGAAATTCCATTTGACCCAGCAATCCCGTTACTGGGTATATACCAATGGAATTATCACTCATTCTATTATAAAGACACATGTACACGTATGCTTATTGTGACACTGTTCACAATAGCAAAGACTTGGAACCAACCCAAAAGCCCAGCTATGATAGACCAGATACAGAAAATGTGGCACATATACACTATGGAATACTATGCAGTCATATAAAAGAATGGCTTCATGTCCTTTGCTGGGACATAGATGAATCTGGAAACCATCATTCTCAGCAAACTGACACAAGAACAGAAAACCAAACACTACATGTTCTCACTTATAAGTAAGAATACTCATAAGTGGGTATTGAACAAAGAAAACACATGGACACAGAGAGGTAAACATCACATACCAGGGCCTGTTGGGGATGGGAGGCTAGAGGATTGATAGCAGTGGTTGAGGGGATAAGGGAGGAATAGCATTAGGAGAAATACCTAATGTAGATGATGGGGTGATGGATGTAGCAAACCAGCATAGCACATGTATACCTATGTAATAAACCTGCATGTTCTGCAAATGTACCCCAGAACTTAAACTAGAATAAAAAAAGAAATTATAATCAACATTAAAATATTTATTTAAACTGCATTATATGTGTTCAAAGGGTAAGTACAGACATGGAAGACATTTAAAAGACCCGAATCAGTCTTCTAGGGATAAAACAATACCTTAAAGGAAAAATATACTGTATGGGCTTAAAGGTCAATTATAATTTGCAGAAGAAAAAAAAGGAGTGACCTTGAAGACCTAGCAATGAAAACTATCTACAATGACTATCAAGGGATAAAATAATAAAAAAACAAATTCAACATCAATAATTTGTGGAACGAATTACTAATATATAATTAAAGTTGAGTAAATCAGCAGAAAGGAACACAAACATTTTTAAAGATAACATTATTAAAATGTTTCCAAATTTGGTTAAATTGTAAATGTAAATGATCCAAGATTCCAAGTCTAAGATCTATAAATAAAACTATACCTATACACGTAATAAGCAAGTTTCTCAAAACAAGTGATCAAATGACACTCTTATAAGCATTTAGAAAAGACACATTGTATACAGAGGAACTAAAATAATGATCACAGCAGATTTCTCATGGAAAATAATGCAAATTAGAAGACAGTGAAGCAGTATCTTTAAAGTAATTTTTATAAACTGTTAACCTAGCTTTCTACTCTCAGCAAAACAATATTCCAAAACTGTTGGTGAAATAAAAAATATTTCAGAAAGATAGATGCTGAAGGAATTTATCACCAGCATACCTACACTTCAAGAAATGAATGCTAAAAATGTTTACACAGAAAGTGATATCACAAGGAAATAATGATCTACACACACACAAAAAAAATGAGCACCAGAAATGACAAACACATTGGTGTATTTTTGTATACCTAAGTAAGGTTTTTATTCTTTTAATTTCTTTAAAAATTATTTAACACAGGCCTGTAATCCCAGCACTTTGGGAGGCCGAGGTGGGTGGATCATGAGGTCAAGAGATCGAGACCATCCTGGACAACATGGTGAAACCCCGTCTCCACTAAAGATACAAAAAATTAGCTGGGCATGGTGGTATGTGCCTGTAATCCCAGCTACTTGGGAGGCTGAGGCAGGAGAATTGCCTGAACCCAGGAGGCAGAGGTTGTGGTGAGCTGAAATCGTGCCATTGCACTCCAGCCTGGGCAACAAGAGTGAAAACTCCGTCTCAAAAAAAAAAAAAAATTATTTAACAGTTCACCTGGGTGCAGTGCCTCATGACCATAATCCCCACACTTTGGGAGGCCTAGACCTGTAGATCACTTGAACCCAGGAGTTCAAACCAGCCTGGGAAACATGGCAAGACCCCATCTCTACCAAAAAGAAAAAAAAAAAAACCTACAAAATATTAACCAGTTGTAAAGTAACCACTAAAATAACAAAACCAAGAACTACAGCATATAAGTTAAATATGAATATAAAGTAGAATTATAAAATTTATTCAATTTATTGAAAAGACAAAATAAAAAAGGGAAAGATAAGAACAAAGAACAGATAACACAACCATTCACCAAAATAGATTATTCTGGGCCACAAAACACAACTTAACAATTAAAAAATATATAAATTATACAATATCTGTTCATATACAATAATCGAATTAAATTAGAAATCAGAAGATACACTGAACTTCCAAAAATACTTGGAGACTACACAACACACTTCTAATAATACATGAGTCAAAGAAGAACTTTCAAATGAAATATAAAAATATGTTGAACTAAATAAAAGTACAACTTATTAAAACATGTTGGATTCAGAAAAAAACATGAGTACAGTGAAATTTATATCATAGAATGCATATACTAAAAAACTAAAGGAATAAAATTGATCATTTAAGTCTTTGCCTTAGGCAACCAGGAAAAAAAATTAGGTCTCAAGCTACAAGAAAAGAACTAAATAGAGCAAAAATCAATAAAATTGGGAACAGAAAATTAACAGAAAAATCAATGAAACGAAAAGCTGGTACATTTAAAAGGTAAATACATTGATGAATCTCTAGTCAGATTAACAGAAAAAAGAAAGAAAAAAGACACTGACTAGTAATATCACTAATGAAAAAGGGGCCATCACCAATTATTCAATGAACACTAAAAGAATAATGAAGAACAAAAAGCTGTATGCTTACCAATTTGATATCTTAGATGAAATAAACAAATAGCTGAAAGATACAGTCTAACAAAACTCACACTAGGAGAACTAAACAGACCATCTGAATAGGCCTAAATATATTAAAGAAAGTGAATCAATTTCAAATAACCTTCCAAAAGTGATAACACCAGGCCTAGAAGATTTCCCTGTTGAATTCTACTAAACATTTAGGGAGAAATTATTCCAATTCTACACAGTCTGTTCCAGGAAGGCAGAGGAAACATTTCCTAATTCATTTTGAGGCCAGCATTATCCCATTAACAAAACCAGGCCAAAGACATTAAAAGAAAGAAAAATTACAGACCAATATCTGTCTTGAAAATAAGTGCAAGCATCCTAAAGAAAATATTAGCAAAACAAACCCAATAATATAGTAAAGAATTATAATCACAGCTTATTGGATTTACTCTAGGTATTCAAATCAAGTTCAACATTCGTCAGTGAATATAATTAATCACATCAATAAGCTAAAGAAAAATGTCATA